AAGCCAAGAGAAGAGGCTTCAGAACAAAACTGGCACTTTGATCTTGGACTTCCCAGCCTCCAGAACTGCGAAAAATTTCTCTTGTTTAAGCCACCCTGTCTGTGGTATTTTGTTACAGCCTCAAGCAGACTAAGACACACACATTCTCAAATACACATGCACTCTTGTATCACTTATCACATCTTTGTTTATAATAGAGAAAAATTTGATAGGTGAAAATATATCTTAGCAGAGGACTAGGCAAAAAAGTTATGATAGAAACATATGCTAGAGTACTATCTAGTCATAACATACAATGTATATTTTCATTTTATTGATGTGAAAAAATGTATACAATATATTAAGTGAAACCAATTGATGAAACAGCTCAAAGTATATTCCCATTTTGTTAAAAAATAAGTTTTAAAAGGAAATATACCCAAAATATTTGAAATAGGTTTTATAGGATTTTAATTACATGTAGTTTTAATTTTCTTTTGTATAGTTCTGTGTTGTCTATTTTTCATAAGTCATTATTTTTATAATAAATGTTTTAATTTGTAAGAAGATTCAGAAACACTGACTGTAGAATCTGTATGTGTGTACTCTGTCTTTTGGGAAGACATGGTTTGTTTAATAGGAATTATTTTTTTCTGGATACAATTATACGAAATAAGAGTTGAGGGTAAAGGTAAAGGACCACCTTTAAACAGAGTTGCCAGATTTCTGTTTGGAAAATCTGGGAATCCTATCTTAATGGAAAGTTGCTTTGCTTTGTATAGATGAGATTCTAAAAGCTTCATGGTACAGGAACCCTAGTCTTTTTAAATGTGCAAGTGAGGACACTCAGGCTCACAGAGGTTGGTGACTTCCTCAAGGTCATCCAGCAACTCAAGTGGCCACCAGGACCACAGTTCAGTCTTGGATGTTTCTTGCCACCCTGTTATGCCTGCCAGCCTTCTATTTTTTTTAGCCTGCTAACTGATAGCTAAGTCCATTAAAAATGCTTACAGGAATTGTGTTTAAGCAGTGATGTTACTTTGTCTTTAATCCAGTTCTAAAGTTTGTTTGTTTTAACAAAATAATACTATACAACATTGGTTGTATGAAAATATGGTATTACCTACCCAAATTACTTTATGTAGTTATCCTGGTGAAATTCTGCAATTTTGATCGAAAAGATGACCAAGGCACATTAAAAATTTTTTTTAAATATTAAAATACTTTTAACGTGAAATAATTTCTAGTTTAAAAGTCTTTCCTTACTGGCATTCTTTTTTAGCTGGAAGCAGAAGAAGTGAACTGGTCCCTTTGGGAATTACATGTATATCTACTTCCCCAGCCCCTATGGGCTGTATCCCATGATGATCTTTTGGAATATTCGGTCTACTAACAGTCAGCACTACTGAAACATACACGCAGAGAGCTACTTTTGCTTTGTGGGGCCTGATTTTCTAGACGCTAATTAGCATAAATATCGGGTGCAATCTCGAGTTAGCCTGCTGGGGTTTTACCTCTCTAATCCATATACTCTCTGTGTGTCATGTAATCTCTCAGTGCTTCAGTTTCATCATCTGTGAAATAAGCATAATGGTGATGCCTGCTTCACAAGATTACTGTTGTTGCAGTTAAATTTTGATAATACAGGTCAAGCATTTATAACAGTGCCTGCCTTATAATAATACACACTAACACATGCAGCACTACTGCTATTATTCTAGTCCACTTATTGTATAGTGTCCTAAGCAAAAGTAATTTGAGAAGGCAGTATGTGAGATATTTGAAAAAGATATTCATCAACACCAGCAACTGTATCCATTAAATGTTTTATTGAGTGGATAGTGCTCGCTCTCTGGCTGGTATAGTCCAGATTTTCTTTGGGCATTCAAATGTACAATTTGCCAAAAAAAAAAGTTTAATTATGCTAGAATATGGAATCTGCCTTAATATTCTTTTAACATCACAGAAATGTAAAGAAACTATCTTACAGGCCATAATCTTCAGCACTGGAAATTGCCCATAATACACTTTTGTTTTCAAGATTGAATTATTCTTTAATTGGTGTTCAGGCTCTACAAAAAATCGTGTTAATATGCAGTGATGGACTATAATCACATTCAAACATTGAGGTGGAGGGGATTTCCTATTATGGGAAATTAAATTTTCTGCCCTTTTTCAAGATTATTAACCTTTCCATTCAGAAGAAGTATGAAAGATGCCATCTGACTCACTAAATAAACTCACATGTAAACAGTCATCATTCCACAGGGACATGTTACTCTGGGAACAGGCTTTTAGAATACAGTCCCCTAAGGGCAGTAAACTAAATTAAGTGTTCCCTATATTTTTAAATTTAGATATAATTGGCATTTTATTAGTTCCAGGTATACAACACAGTGATTCAATATTTGTATATACAGTTAGCCTTTCGTATCCTCTGGTTCTGCAGCTGAGGATTTAACCAACCGTGGATCCGAAATATTGGGGGAAAAGTTCTAGGAAGTTCCAAAAAGCAGAACTTGAATTTGCATCATGCTGGCAACTATTTACATAGTATTTATATTGTATTAGGTATTATAAATAATCTACAGATGATTTAAATTATACAGGAGAATGTGTATAGGTTATGTGCAAACACTGTGCCATTTTATATAAGGTACTTGACCATCCATGGATTTTGGTATTCGTAGAGGACCTGGAACCAACCCCTGGAATACTGAGGGACCACTGTATTGCAAAATGATCAGTGCAGTAAGGCTAGTTAGTAGTTAACATCTATCACCACGCATAGTTACAAAAATGTTTTTTCTTATGATGAAAACTTTTCCCATCTACTCTTAGCAACTTTGAGATATACAACACTGTATTATTAACAATAGTCTCCATGTGGTACACTACATCCCCATGACCTACTTATTTTATTGCTAGAAGTTTGTACATTTTAACCCTCTTAACCCATTTTGCTCACCCTTCACTCATAATGCACTGTTCACACTTTTCACACTGAATATAACTGAATGAAGGCTGTTCTTAGAAGTGTCTTCTAGGCCGTAAATCTTAAACTCTTCGGGGCTGATTTCAAGATTTTATATTTTAAAGGGTTTCTTAATCTTACACTTTGACTCAAGGCCAGAGAGTTACTGAAACATACTGCTGTTTTCCAGTGATTGGATTAGACCACATCTACTTTTAGCCACGCCTTTTTACCTATGATTCTGTGCATTTTAGCTAAGCATCTAGCATTTAATTTAGAAGTGTGTTTAACTTCATTATTATTAGTTCTTTAATAAAATAGATTTGTATCATACTCTTTTGAAGATTCTATTGAATTTTTAACCGTTTTTTATAACCTTCCCCTAAGGTATTCCCATGTGTCAGCAGCACTTAATTTGGAATAACATGGAGCTTGAAGATGATTATTGCTTGAATGATTACAAGTGAGTGTAATTGCATATTAGCTGTTTTATAGACACTCAGAATTATGACTCCATTTTTTTTTCTGAATCCTTGAATCTTGTCTCTTCTTCTGAATAGTTCTGATCCGTAGCTTTCAGTGTAAATCCCTAAGATGTGTTGGCTCAGTACCCATACTATCCGATCCTTGTTCTCTGATTGTTTGTTTTACCTTTTCATTATTCACGCCAAACTACCTACCCCATGTCTTTTTAGATCTCCCTCTTCTTATCTTGCCTTATTTGCTCCTTTCGTTGAATATTGACCCATTTCCACCTGGCTACGTTCCTTTTCTTTCCATTTTTCCAAGAGTTTTGGGTGAGAGAGTATTGCTCTTCACCAAGTCTTTCATTTTTTCTTAAGCCCTCCTAACGTGACACTAAGTGACACTGTGTGCACCAGTGATTGCAAATATACTGCCTGACCTTTTGTCTCTGTTTCTCCCATCTCTCACATAATTCTTCATGCTTTCCTTAGAATGAAAGGGTCTGAGGCCGTGTGGAATAGCTAGGAGAGCACTGGGAGTTGAGAGACCTTGTAGATTTGCTTTTTTTTTTTTCCTATTGTTTTATTTTATTAAATAGACCTGCTGTTTCTAACACTTTGGGTCTTGAACAAGCTTCTTTTCTTCTTAAGGCCCCTTTCCCGACATGTGAAGTAAAGAGGCTAAACCACATGACCACAGAGGGTCCATTCCTTACTTTTATTCTGGGATGTCATGGCCTATTTAAGGCATATGAGAACTTCTTCATTTTTTCATTATTGATACAAGTATATAAGTTAACATTTTATATTTATGCACATTGCTGTATCTTTTTTTGTGTGTTTAGAGGGTAGTCATTAGGCTTGATAAACACATAATTATGTGTATATTTAAGACTGAATGCATTTTGATGATTGTGGTTTATTTTATTTTTGTGTTAACTGTCCACAGCATTTCAGAAGGTTGTACCTTGAAGCTGGTATTGGCTATGCGTGGTGGACCTATAAATACTAGAAGAGGTAGGCATATGTTAAAATTATGTATGTTAAAGCAATTTGACAATAATAATCTTCAAGCCAGATGATGTTTTTATAGCCTTAGGTTTTATTCAGATTCTCTTTATGCTATTAGGTCTTAGAAGAACATGGAGAACTTTGTTTCTCTAGGCATTGTTCTTGAAAGCCTAAATGCAGAGGCAGGAACTCATATTCCAGAAAATTTCATGATTCCTGATTCAGTCAAGAGAGATTTAAATATAAACCTCATCAGTATAGGGAAGGGTAATGGGACGGCATGGTATACATATTATGTTGTTACCACTGTGTTTAGGTTCATACTGATCTTGCTGCTTTTTTTAATCCTGAGTCTTCAACTCCTGGGGTGTTGATTGTTATAGGAAATTCCTATGATATCTCTTTGCCTGGTTTGTGAGCATTTGGGTTTCATAGACATTATGGCCCTGTTGAATCCTTTTTTAAGGATGTGGGTGGTCTCTGGGGTTCCATTTGTTCATTCAGCAAACACATTTTGAGCATCTCCTATATGTGCAGTATTTCATGGGAGAAAAAGTTCCTGCTTCATAGCAATGCCTACAATAAACATGTAAAGAATTGATCTTGTTTTAAGCAGTTGTAAGTGCTCTGGAGGGAACAGGATTGCATGAGTGTCTGTGGCAGCAGGGTGGTATGAGGACAGCTGTGGAAGCGCCCTTGGAGAAGGTGATGAGCAGAGACTTGATTAAAAAGGAAGTTCGAAGCGTAGGAAGAGTGGGGAGTGTTCACATTTGCCCTGGATTCAGGTATGTCACATGAATCTCCATAAAGCAGAGGCATTCTTAGATTTCTCAGAGCAGTCCTGCTCTGCGGGCCTCATTTTGGGGAAGGCCTTTGTATTTGTTTTGTGTTAATGGCTTATACTTCTTCCACAAGCCACATTTCATCTCTGTGCTTCATAATTTTGATTAGAAAATAGGATTATCACCATCTTTTTTCTAGCTATTTCAAGAGTATTTTGTGAGATATGTTACCTTGGCCATTGAACTGTTTGGGATAAGTTAGAAGAAACAACAAAAATAATGTGAGCAGTGATTAACAAGCACTCCTAATATCATGGACTTTCCATTAGTTGGACTTATGAAATTGTCCCATATGACATAAGGTGATGTTTATAGTACCAATTCTGAGGGTAGTACAAGAACCCTAATGTGTTTACTGAGCCATTATAAGATAGAATTACATAGCGTTTAATGACATTTGAATTCCACTGTATTATATTTTTCAAAGTTGATTATTTGTGTATGGTATTGTCTTTAAAGCAGGGTGCTTAATCAGAACACCTACTTTTCTTACTAGGACTAAAATTATGTTTATGAGGAAGAGTGTAAGTATCACAGATTCTGAGTTAAAAATATATGTATTTTTTAACTTAAAAAAAGAAAGTAAAAGACATCACTACCGTTTGATAATTGAAGCTTTGTAATACCTTTTTTCCTATAACTTTCTATGCCTTGTTTCTAAATTGAAAAATCAGCACCTAAAACTTGTCTGTTTTTTTGACATTTTAAATTAAGTTGTTAATAATTTTGCCTTTATTGAGTCAACATTTTAAATTAAAAGCTTGCTATTATCCACCTTACATCATTGAAAACTTTGTGGAAAAGAAAAACTATACCCAGATCTAGAACTTCTTGATACTGTATTTGAGGAACCTTATTTTTTTTAGCTATTTAATCTTAACTTGAAAATTATGGCTTAGAAAATACCTTTGTCATGTGAATTCCAGTAAGAGTTAGCTCTTAAAATTATTTTTGAATTAACCATTATCAAAACAGCATAGAAAATACTTTTATTTCTAAAACTAAATTTTATCCTTAATTATGTACACAGTATTTTACACCTGATGAAATCGAAATGATTTTTCTATTATGGAAAGGTGTGTGTATACATACACATCTTTGATGGCAATGCCTCCCTAAGTAAGGCATACTCTGTTGGCTTAAGCAAGACTTTCATGTGGTTTTAGTAGTGGCAGTAGCCTAATTTTTATGTCTTATTAATGAGGAAAATGTAGCATTGACTTAAAATGGCAATGAGTTGTGTTATAAATGTCTTTTAATATTTACATATTTTGTGCCTGTGAAAGAGTATCAAACATCCACATATTTTTATAAAACAAGCTTAATCTTACTGTATTTCTACAGATTTGTGTTTTAGCAGTAGTGATATTGAAATTAGGGTAGAGCATCTTTAATGTTTTTACCTGTTACTTCCAGAGTTTAATATTTCTTATTGCTGTAACTTTTTAAAGGGTTGTATAGCACTGTGATTCTGTTAATAAATAAGCTACTTGAATGAAACTTACAGAGTTTGAGAAATTGTTGCCTCTTTTAAGAAAGAACAAATGTTTCTGCAGCTTGACATGAAAATGTCCTTGGAAGCAAACTTTTTTTTTTGGTGATCATTACTTAGACTCCCTGATCTGGGGTTCAGTGGCTTTTCGGGCATTCAGCCTATGAGCTAGCAATCTCCTGAGGCTCTTTCCCGCCATAGGAGCAGAATCTGGCTACTGTGATGACAGCGGGTTGAGATGATGGCTGCAGTATTATTCAGACCTGAGGACAACTCCAGGCCACTAGAGCTGTGTGCTCTGACTAGATATATAAGACACGTGCCAGGACAGTTGGGGTCCTGGGAGGATACTTTCAAAGAAACAACGTATTGATCATTACACACATGGCAGTTTTAGTGCACTAAGTGGCCCCCTTGTGTTCTGAGTTACTCTGTACTTTTAATTACCTGACTTCAGGTCAAGAGCTAGGAAGAATCAGCCTTTGTATAAAACCAGAAAGAGAAAAAGGGATTTGTTTCTAATATGTTTCCCAGTTGTGTGTGTGTTTTTTAATTAAAAGTAAGTGGAATTTATCTTGCTTTTAAATTATTGACTATTGGAACCAATACTTGAAAATATAGGGAGAGTAAGGTGTAAAGTGAAAACAGTCATAGATAATTATGTCATAGATCAACAAATATGAGCTCTGGTGGCACAGGTATTTTGGTTAAATCGTGTCTTTGTACATAGCAATATAATCATTTCATTTCTTTCATGTTAATACATGGGGAATGCTGAATTAACTATAAAAAGACCAGAAACTTACTTGCAGAATCTAATTTATATATATATATATGTGTAGTATGCACAGGTTGTTGTTCAGATTCAGCACATCATATCCTGTCAATGTATCAAGATGCATAAAACTTCATAAAAATTGAAAGCTTGTTTATCAATTTTTCCATTTGTAGTTCCTATGGAAGATCCACTTAGGGAGATGGCTGAGTACATGGATTCCAGTCGAGATGAGGTCTGGGAGAAGACCTCCTCCACCAAACAAGTTACGTTTTTGGTATACCGAGAAGGAGATCAGTTGAATTTCTTTCGTGTAGTAGATAGGGGAGATGGCACTTTAACACCATTGTCTGAATCTTTAAGGTAAATAGGTTTTCATTTGCATGTCTCAGAAATGAACACTGTATGATACACCCATAAACCTTGTTTACCTGTGTTGTCAAAATAATCTTATATTCACAAGACTGACTAAATTTTATGAATTCCCCACTTTTCCCCTACCCCACCCGTTATATAATTCTGAAATTAGCCTTCATATGATTGATATGAGTAATTTCTAAAGTTGAAGTTTCCTTATGGAGTAGGATTTTTTCATAAAAAACTTATTTCTATCACTCTATGAAACCCTAAGATGCCTACTAGATTATAGAGTCTTGTTATAATTGTGTGTTATTATATAACTGTGGCATAATGGAAAATTGCTCTGTTTTTCCAAAATGTAACTTCCTGCTTAAAGGTGGATAAATCTCCTTTCTTCTCTAGTCTTGTTTTCCTACTGTAACAGGAAGAGGGTCTGTTGTATTCTAAAATCAGAAGGAAAACAGCTTAAAGGTACTTAGCTAGTCAAGAGAATCAATTGGACAAGGTAACCTTTAAGTTTCACTCTGCTTTGCTATGATTCTTTGTGTCCTTTGCCTCCTTTAAGTCGCTAAACATGCACTGAACTTTTTATAGTCTCTACACTAAGCTTGGGTTAAAAAGATTATTGTCCTTCCCTTCGTGGGACATGCAATCTGCTATAAATAGTATCTAAAATACAATATTGGCAGTTGTTATGAAAAGACACCAACATCAGCAACTCTGGAAAAGCAGATGAGGGCCTTCATGTTGCCTGAAAGATGAGGTGTTAGGGACAAACTCTGAGAAAAAGTGACTTTAAAAGAGGAGTAAGACAGGCAAAGAAAGGGAAGCTATTCCGGGTAACTAAATTTAATTCCGCAACGTAAAAACCTAGCGGCAATACCATTCACAGGAAAAACAGCCTGTAGTCTGGAGATCAGTTTCTGTGGGTTGAGAAGTCTACGCACAGTATATGTAGGTGCTCTGCTCAGGGTCTCACAAAGCTGCATTTAAGGTGTTGGCAAAGGTGTACTCTTACCTGGAGGCTTGACTGGGGAAGAGAATCTACTTTCAAGCTCATGTTGGCATAATTCATTTCCTGGTGATGATGTGACTGAGGACCCTGATATTTTGCTGGCTCTTGGGTAGAGGCTGCCCTCACTTCCTTTTGATTTAACTCAGAATCAACTGATTTGGGGCCTCGATGACATCTGCAAAATCCCTTTTCTTCTGTCATATTGTGTTGAATAGAAGCAAGTCGTAGGTCATGCCCACACTCAAGGCTAGGAGAGCGTACAGGGTGTGAGCACCAGGAGTTGGGAATCATGGGGGTTCCTTTAGGATTCTGCCCACCACGGAGTGTTATGTGGAAGAGGGATTATATTCATTCTTTGGGGCCAGAGAGCAGACTGTGACAACGGGTGTTGCCCGCTGGCTCTAACGTGTCAGGATTTGGTTAGCACTGCAAATGTGGCTTAAACATAGGGGCTAGAAGTAGAGAAGAGGGAGCAGTGAGGGCTGTGGCTTTACTCCAGTGTCTCTCACTTAGATGATGAATAGAGTTTCCTTATACCAGCCTCTCCATGTGCTAGATAACTGTTGTGGTGGTTTTCTTCCATAGAACATCCTCTTTTGACTCTCCTTTCCTAACGGAAAAAAATCTAAGCTCTGTGGCTTAGCATGGAAGGCCGTTTACAACCTGTCATCATCAGTTTTTCAGGTCTCTTTTATCATGCCATGTTTTTGTACATCTTTTTTCCTTCACTTGAAGTGTCATTTCCTCCTTTTACCCCATTTTTTTCCCTATTCAACTTCTATTTGTGTTTAAGACATAATCCAAATTTTGCCATGGATTTCGATTAAAATTGCATTACTGTTCCTCTTAAGATAATTTTTTTGTTTATTTTTCTCTTCCTTTCCATTCACCTATCAGAACTGGTTGATATGGGATAGGGTAGTTGAGAAAGGGGAGCAGAAAACTTTCTGGTCATACCATATCTTGCCTGTTCTAGGAGAGCTTTCTTACTCTTCAACAGAGGGCAGCAAACATTTTTTTTGTAAAGGGCCAGATAGTAACTGTTTTAGGATTTTCAGGCCAAGGGATAAAACTAAGGATACCATGTAAGTACTTCCATGACAAGAGAAAATAAATTTCCACAAAATTTTTAGAGACAAAATACAAAATATAAAAATAATAATTGAGTACATGTGTGTGTTTAATTCAGGTGAACTAATGAGAAGAATGGAATTCTTTTTGGTGGGAGTAATAGTTTACTTAATTGAGCTTGAAAGCTAGTGTTGCCTATTAAATTTACAAAATCAGTTTTAAACTTCGTCTGTTAATATTGATCTGTAATGAGATTTTATGTATTTTATCTTTGAAAACGTCTTTTCATGCAGATGGGTAGTGCCAGATAGTGACAGCAGTCCTTGAGCATATGATTTTAATTGAGCATATTCTTCACTTGGAAGGCATTTACAGAATTCTGTCAGAGTCTTCTCTTGCTGTTGGCTTTTAGTATGTCATTATGTTGCAGATTAATCACTTTTCAATTGCACATTTCCTCTAACTTACAATGAGGTATGAAAATTGCTGCCTGGACTTTAAATTTGAGTTGAGAAAGTGTGTCTGCTTCAAATTCGTGTGGGAATAGAAGATCTCGCTTTGTTTTTAACTTCTGAAAACATACTATTACGTGTGATTCCAAGTAATGCTAGTTGTCAGTATGACATTACTGCAGTGTAAGTTTCTCATGTAAATATTGTTTTGCCTTGTAATTTTAGGTGGAATTCATTAAGAAATGTTATCAACTTCACAATAAAAGCAAACTTCCTAAGGTGTTTAGCGTTGCATATTAGTGATTGATAGTGGTCACAATTCAGAAAAATTCAGTGTCAGCCCTGAGCTAAAAACAAAAAAATCAATAAAATTGCTACCGCTAAGCCATTGAGCTAATGGTTAAGTTCATCAGACAGGTGAAATTTATCATCGACACTGCTGGTTCAGTAATACATGATAGGCTGAAATATTTACTCCACAAAATCTGCTGACAAATAATATAATGAGTAACCATAGGTTTTAAACACCTTGCATTTTCATCAGTTTGTAAATTTGTCCAACAAGACGTTTTTTCTGTTCCACACATATTTTTACTCCATCAGTTATAGCAGATTTCACTTCAGTTTGTACTGAGTTAGTGTTCTAGCAACTTCTTTGCAAATATTCTTACCTGTAGTTGTTTCATGCAGACCATACATAGGGGCCTGTTCTTCAGTCACTTCAAATTTGGTGTTGATGCTATGAAGAAAGGAAGACAACTGAGTGGTATCAGTAGCTTATATTGACTCATCAAAAGCCAAGGAAAACAACTCAAATCATTTGCCTTATTTTTTAATTGACTATTGATGTTGCTTCCAGTGTTCTCAACTCTTCTAGAAATTATTCTTGCCAAAGAAGCAGTCTTTAAAAAGGTTTGTTTTCTCTGGACCCATTTCTTCAACTGCTATGACCAAACATGGTTTAATCAGTTCACAGTTGTAAGCCTTTCCTTGCACGGCTAATAAAAAAGGCACTTGGAAACTTATTTTGGTTGCACTCTCATTTTCAGTTTTTATTTTTGCAAAGAGATTCTGTTGTGATGAGGTACTCCATGTAAAATTTTCTGCTTTTTTGACCACTGCTTTCCTGCAAGTTGGAAATGTCATGATCTTTTGACTGATACTGTCCAAATATGTTGTTTTCTTTTAGAATAGCTATAGTGTCAAATTGCATAATAAATACAGCTCTTTGATATCTAGTTGATAGCAGAGCAATCTGCTCTCTACTGTGCCCTAAAAGTCCATACTTCTCTTCTTGTTTTGACATGTTGGGCATATACTGGTAATAAAGTGTCATTGCATAGCAATACACATGGCATTCAGAATGCTGTTGAATTATGACTATGCCAGTGTGATTTATAGTGTCCCAAGCCACAGTGAAAAGCAATGAGAGAACCACTTACAATTTGTTGTAGCTGTTCAGTCCTGCCATTGTAGTGCAAGAGCAGAATACAGTATGTGATCAAGTGAGTGTGGCTGTGTTTCAGTGAAACTTTATTGGACACTAATGTGAATTTCATATAATTTTCACATTGTGAAATATTTTGATTTTTTTTCAGCTATTTAACAATGCTGTCCTAGGGCAGTCTACCCAAGCAATAGAAATAAAAGCAAAAATAAACAAATGGGACCTAATTAAACTTAAAAGCTTTTGCAAAGCAAAGGAAACCATCAGCAAAATGAAAAGACAACCTATGGAGTGGGAGAAATACTGCAAATGATGCAACTGACAG